TATAACTAGACTATAACTCCCATGATCCTTTGTTGCACAAAATGGCATAGCTGACCATTACCTATTGAAAACGTTGTATTTTACACTTTGGTATTCTTTACAGAATGATAGCTGAGGATATCAAAAACTTTAGCGAGAAAGAAAAACTACCAATGTCAGATAATAAGGTATTTTTATGTATCTCTATCTCAGCAAATCATGCTTAGGATGTCAAGTACTAGTTTGATTCCTGGCAAGTCATTTGTCAACAACATGTTCTGTTTCATACTAAGGCTTGGCTCGCACGTCGAATCTTACTTCTGTCGAATTCAATGCAAGTAGCAGAGGCAAAGGATTAAAGCAATTTGAATTAAATTGRGTACAAGTAAGATTCGACGTTTGAAACAAGATTGAGAGGKCTCAGTGAAAGTCTTTATAAGTGATCTTTCCATGAACATTAACAATTCCTTTTGCTCRATTTTTTTATGCAGATGAGCGATTTACAAAAGCTACTCAAAAAAGCTCCCGAGTACCAGAAGCAGATACGGCAGGTAGGCAACAGTTTTTTAATCCTACTATCTATCGCTTCAGGAGTGCTTGTGTGCCGATCTAACCGCGCGCTTACCCATGCTGGGAAGTCAGTCTGTTAAAATCATTTCTTCTRTTKTTCAATTTTCAGTTTCTTGTTCACTTTAGTTTGGCTGAGAGCTGCATGAATCGTTACAAAGAAATCGCAGACAAGCTGTGTGCCGTTGAACAGGTTTTTAACTTGTTTTGAATTTTATGACATCATTATTGATTTATGTCGTCATCAAAATGACGTCACTCAGCTCTGTAGTGTCGTCAATATCCCATCACATATATTGATACTGCATCAAAATGACGTCACATCAAGGGTATCAAATGACGTCAAATGGATAGATGAAAGAATCACTATGACGTCATCTCATCTGTTTTCCTTTTAAGGATATGGCTACAGGGGAAGACAAAGAGGGAACGCCCGTCAAAGAAACAGTCAGACATTTAATCCCACTATTGCACGATCCGAAAGTCACGTGAGATAACGTTAATTACATTTAACTCAGTATGCATTATYTTCAATTGGTGCTTATTCTGAGTTTTAAATCTATTTGTTGACAGCRACACTGATAAAATACGGATGATCCTGCTCTACATTTTATTCAAAAATGGTAACAAAGGAATGTCATTCACATAGACTTTTTCCCGTTTAGTTTCCTTTTCTCCTTTTTTCATTTCTCAGTTTTCTTTTATTCAACTTACTCTTCTTGTCTCAGTTTTTCTTTGCTCCTGTGATTCCCTTTTCATCTATTTCTACTTGTTTTGTCATGTCCTTTTAAAACCCATTTCATAACCTTTCCTTGTCTAGTTTTTCCTCTTTCTTTCTTTACATCAAACGCGCATATTGCTTGGTAGTCTCCTTCGCAGCCTCCCCTTTTGTCGGGCTTCCTGTCCCTCCCTCCCTTCTTTTGGGAGGGACAGGAAGCCCGACAAAAGGGGAGGCTGCGAAGGAGACTAATTGCTTGGATGATTTTAACAGGAATTAGCGAGGAAAATCTGGAGAAATTTTTTGAACATGGGAACATCTCAATAAAWGAAAGGTATGTACAACAATTTGGAAACAAGCTTAATATATCTTTGAATCTTTTGATCTTTTTTATTTTGATGTTTCAGATCAGCCATCTTAAACATGGTTCACTTGGGGGTACCCGTMACGCTCGAGGTCATGTGATTTTAATTCAAAATTGTATTCGTAAATGAAACTTTCGCTTGCATTTATTTAATTGTGTTTATTTAAGTTTTTTATGGATGTCATGTTTACAAGATGCCTAAAAAGCTTGCAATTACTGTTATWATTAAATGAACGTATCATTTTGGATTCACAAAGAGTAAAATGTTGTACTATCCGTCCTGATCCGTAAACGTGTTTCCCTATACTGATTTAATGTCAAATAATGTGTTACGTTTCAAAAAATTGTTTGCCAAGGAAGAGCGTTTAGGGACGGCTGTAGCCTTCCTCTGCGTATACCCCATTAGATTATCTCATTGTTAACACGGCAGTACTAGCAGTGATTCTAACATATCTAATGTACTTCGTGGGTTGACCCAGGAAACATCCTAGGG